TTAGTGATCAATAGATCATTTATATTACAATGCAAGTATTGCAATGACGAAAACCATTCATCTGATTTTGATTCTTTCTCCTAAACTATATGAGACTGACACATTTTACGCATTGCGGTGAAAGCTTTGGCAATAGTTCATCATATGTTTCAGGCTGACTAAGTTCTGGAAACATTTTTTCATTTACCAGTACCTGTTTTTTTTTTCTGACTGAGATGGAGCATGCCATCTATTCTCTTCCTCGTTATATCCATCTTCTTCATTCTCATTATCATCTGAATCAGGAGATGTATATTGGGATTGGGAAGGTATTAGAGGAAAGTATCGATATGTTGAATTTGATTTAGCTACAGGTTTTTTGTTATCAAGCATCATCCTCCCGAATTGAGATATCATTTGACCAATTTCATCTACTTTCGACTCTATTTTACCTATTCTGGCATTTTGATTTGATGAACGTAATCATTCTGGTTTACTTGCTATGGGTGGAGGAAAAGCTTTATCTAACTATTGTAGTGCTTCCTCTTTAGAAAGATTTGACCATCTAGGATCTCCCTGATCTGCATAAAATTCATGTATTTGTTCATAATCTTTGGGTAGAACTGGAGGATGAGATTTTTTGGATTGCTGGCTTATTTTTGATTCGAATTCAGTTTTCAATTTTTCAATCTCGGCTTTGTGTGATGCATCCCGCTTTGCTATATCAGCCTTTTGTTCAGCATCTCGTTTATCAAACATAGCTTGAAAAGATTTTTGCATTTCATCATATGAGGGGAATACAGATTGTGATATAATACTTTCATTTTGCTTTGCTGGTACTTTTTTCTTTGGATGAGCTTGATCGAAATTTTGTTCTTCATTTAAACTAGAACGTTCAAGTCACATATTTTTCAATATAGTGAAAAATTCATTAATGCCTGCTATATTTTTATTTCTCATCCAACTGTAAAGCTCACGATCCCTCGATAAATGAGTTTTAAGAGTTCCTAAGACATATGCATCATTATTTGCTATGTCTAATATTAGTGGACGGATTCTGGCTTCATATGTATCTGGTGTATCATAGGGTTGAAATCTTTCTTGGCTCAATTTCTGAATAGCTGAATTCTTAGTTCCAATGTTTTCTCGTTGATATTTTTCATCTAACCATGCTTTTAAAGTATCTGGACTATCAATATTAACTGCCGGATTTACAAAATTATTTTGAAGTGGTACCGGTGCATATTTTCCTGCCATCTTACCTTTTATAATTTCGACTTTGACAGCATCATCAAAATCTCCAGCATTTGCATTTTCAAGAGCCATCATATTTGGTATAGCAGGTGCCTATGCCTGTATAATCATATCACAATAATCACTAGGTGGCATTTGATCTATATATTGTGGAATTGGATTTAACAAGATAGATACATATT